ACACTGCTCCATCTGAGGTAGAGCCGTCCGCACAGAAGCTGCCATTCTTCAAGCGCGCTTTGCCACCTCTGCCCAAGAGTAATAGTCAAGTGGGAGTAGAGCAAGCGGAAGAGGCCCTTACAGCAATGGCACCTAAATGTGAGTCTCCGAGCTCGGTACAGCCGCAAGTTCCACCGCCTGTCGTGCGACCAGAAGAAGATACTGCTGAGGACACGAGTATGGATTTTGCAGCCAGTATCGAGAAAGTGAAGGATGTATGTAAATTTTATTTTTCTTTTCACTGATTCTTGATACTAGGAAGAGTTGCAGAGAGTATTCTGTGTATTTCTACTTTCTGAAACAGTATGGATGGTATTGGGGACCTATATCCGGTGAAGCGGCGGAGAAGATATTATCTAACGAACCGGACGGCTCATTCATCGTGCGAGACAGTAGTGATGATCATTACATTTTTTCCTTGTCATTTAGACTCAACAGTTGTGTGCGACATGTAAGGATAGAACATGATCAGGGTAAGTTCTATTATCTTTACACTATAAGTAAGAGAGTTTAATGCCTATTACGGTCGAAGCTGAATCTTAGATTAGGCTTTTAAATAACTTCTATGTGAATTTTTATACTAAATATGTAGTCATTTGAACTGCGCGCCAAAATGATTTTTCGGACTTATAAACGCAATTAAACTACTATATCACAAATTAAATTGATAATTAATTTAATAATTTGATGCTCAATCATCCTATTATGCCCGTATTACACTACGCATTGGAGACTAAGGATTGCGAATTGAGGATTAGAATTCAGCCAATTAGAATGAAACGGATTAAAATTAGAATTACCTGATTGGCCGAATTCTAATTCGTAATTCGCAATCCTCAATGTCCAATGCGTAGTGTGACACGGGCATTAGAAAGATGTTAATGTACTGAAAAACTAAATTAATTTATTACGAAAAATATTGTTAATTATCCTAAGCCTTTAGACTAAATTAGAATGCTCGTACGGAATATAAGAGATCCGGATTCGACTCCCGACCGAATATTTTTCGCAATAAATTTATTTACAGTTTTAACTTTGACTTGTTGTGTTCACATATACGGTTTTAATAAATTGTTTATTATTCTTCACACTATAAACAATATTCTTGATCTTTGTTTTCACGCGCGCTTTAAATCCATTTCTTTCGACATACAGGTAATTTTAGCTTCGGCAGCTGCACGAAGTTCAAGTCGCACACTATCGTTGACTTTATCGAGAACGCGGTCGAGCATTCGCGCAGCGGTCGCTATCTCTTCTTCCTACACCGACGGCCAGTTCTAGGGCCAATGCGGGTGCAGCTGCTCCATCCGGTGTCGCGCTTCAAACAGGTGCAGAGCCTGCAGCACACGTGCAGGTTCGTCATCCTGAAGATGGTGCGCAGGGACTTGATCCCAACCTTACCGCTACCCCGGCGGCTCATCGACTATCTCAGCACACCCCATTATTACAGCGAGCAGCTGGCGGCCGAACAGGACGACCGAGCCGAATCGCCGGTCAGCTCGTCGACCGGCGAATTAGAGAAGATCTGCTTCACGCCGCAGGGTCTCTCGTGAGGTATAGCCGGGTGACTTTTCCCTCCTCCGCTCCGCTCTCTGTGCAAAGAGATATTTGCGCCGAACATCGCTCACGGTGTTAACGTAAATTTAATTCGCAGTTTAATTAAATTTTCGCAACATGTAAAAATTTACATCGTCGTTTTCATTCAAATTCTGTCGATGTGCAAAAATTTAAAAGATCACTGAATTAAATTTTGGCTGGATATAATACGGAATTTCATTTGTAGCTGTATTAAAATATGTATTGAGATGTACATAATTTATTTTACAATTCAATTAATTTTGAGTTTATAACAGAGTATAAGAATTTAATTTCTTAGTTTAATTGAATATATGTACAAACAGGGGCGGCAACTTACCTCGCCTGTGGATGTGGAATTTTTGACTGACGAAAGGAAATAAGGGGGAGAGTACAAAATGACGTTTTATTTTTATTTATTTTGTGCTCTTTGTTGCCGTCCCATTTTTAACAATTGCGAATTGCGACGCTCTGTCTAACAGTTAGTAAAGGATCATTTATATTGGCCGTAACCGTATGCTGTAATTTGTAAGAATTGACTAATCACAGTCGAATATTCCCCTCTCATTCAATTGTAAGAGAGGAATGCTCGACTGTGATTAGTTAATTTTTACAGATTACTATGGCATACGGCGCACGGTTACGGCCAGTATAAATAAACCCAAGTTGAATCTCTGCTACGCGCGTAGTTATACTGCATCACGAATATCGATATCTGTGCACATTAAAAAAAATTTACAGTTGATTTTTAATCCAATTCGTGGATTTCCACACTAAGCTAAATTTTAGGTGTGGAACTCCACAATTCCACACCATAGTTGCCGTCCATATGTACAAAAATTTAACATTTGCTGCTGAACTAAATTTTAGTCAATATAAAGGAATTTACAATCGGTAGCTTAATTGAATTATCATTAATGTGCAGAAATTTAACAACTAATAATCGAATGAAATTTTCGTTTATATGCCAGAATTTAATTCATGATTTGAATTTTTGCCATCGTCGACGATGTGATGTACGATTAATGATTTTGCGCTTGTGATTTTGACTTCGACGATTTACGGCGTATCGATTCGTAAAGTGAGTATTGTGATTAAACTTGAAAGTAGAGGAATATATAAAGAAATTTCCGTGTGCACAAACACACACTATATACCTAAAGCTGCAAGTTATGGTCGTTTCAATCTGATTTGATTGTCGAAGGAAAGGAATAAAAAATCAATTTATTCTATTTCAACAGAAATCGTGATATTATATATCGTAATATTCATTCTGTGTATGTACTATGCTGACACGAGACTTTTGAGACAATTTTTTTTCTTTGAGATATGATTCTGTGCAGCTTGAATCGCAGCTAAAGTAAAACTGTTTGCGGAATAGCCAATATGACTGATTGAGGGGAGATTCACGACGCGAAATCATTTGTTCATCTCCTATCAAATATTACTTGACGATCACATCTCTGTTGTTAATTTATGCAGTACAACTTTAGAGGCAAAAAGAAAGAGGAGATGCGCGATCGAACTGAGCGTAAACAAATTCTGTATAGCCCTTTCGAGATTCTTTTTATCGACTATAACGAATGGCAAGATTACATGTGACATAAACCACGCACAAAATATCCGTTTATACGTACACATATAAGTGCATATATAAATATACACATACGCGTATATATTGAAGGAAGAGAGAGAGAGAGAGAGAGAGAGAGAGAGAGAGAGAGACACGCAGTAGTCGAATGGAATTTTGCGTGCCATACTTGCCATTTTCTGTTGAAGTTTACGCAAATTAATATTAATATTTCGTTGTAACGTTGAAAATTATATTTAGTGTTTATTCTTTACAGTCGTGCTTCCTGCTAAACTCAGTAGCAGATAGAATATTCTTATAATTCAGATTATCTTTGGAGTTGATTTAGTTGATTTATATTGACTGATTGCTAGAAGAGCAAATCAACAAGATAAAAACATGGAATAATTCGGAATCGTATTTGTTAAAAATTCTTACATTTTTCTTTTACGAATCGATTACGCGAAACCATTGAAAGTTATCTCGATTGTAAAAACTCTTACAAATATATATAACCAAAGGAAATATTCTGGCAATATATAAAGGGTAGCTAAAGTCGCAATGCGCAATTCAAATGTTACATGATTTCTTATTCGTTTAAGTAACCAATTTAAAATCAATTAATATTTAGTTAATAGAAAGAAAAGTAGTGAAATATTAGTAACTGGTGCTATGCGAAATTATATTCTTCATTTTCATGCGTGAGAATAATCGCGCGTTTATTTTTATGCTCAAACAATTTTAAAAAATAGTGTCGTGCAATAACGTTCATCGAAATTAATCGGATTTTGATGGTACCGCGCAATTATATATATTTTTATATAATTTAATATATTCGTTTAATTTCAATTGTATTATATCTATGATTTTATTTGAACTATTAATTATACGTTCAAGAATTATAAAAGAGTGACACAAACTTTCTCCGCAAGCTTTTTCGAAGTAGATATTTATTCTGATCAATTTTCACGTTTCAATGTTCCCTAGAGCTTAACAACGTGGCATTAGTATTGCTATAGATCTTCCAAAGGAAAACTTCCTGTGGCAATTTGTAGCTGAAGATACGTTTATCGATACATAGATTCCCTTTCTCATTCTTTCAACATTCACTGATATCGAGGAGTGGTTCGTTAATTTATTACCTCGAGATACAAGTGAATTTATGTTTGTCTAGAAAGTGTGTCGCTTGAAATTCCGTTTTTGCGCTTTAGACACAGTACGCATACACAGACATACATGGAAACAGACACGTATACACTGACAAATTTTGTACTCAGTATCCACCAAGTAGATTTTGCAATACGATTACTATTAATATTAATGAGATCGTCCAGGGGGACTATGCGGGTCCTGCGTGGGGTTTGTAAGGCATGTGCGTATAGTTAATAATGGTACCACAATACCTCACAGTCACAGAGGGAGGTATACGTATATAGAGCAGAATTAGTAAGGTTTTATAACGAGCGTATTTACATCAGCATAAGTTGCACACATCTCACATACACACAACACACACACACACGACAAAACGTGTGATTTCAACTACAAGGAAATTCTAGTTGTAAGGGAGCGTGAGCGTCTTATTCGATAAGATTATGTTTAAGGGTCAGTTGCATTAACAGGCTTAATTAATTACCGCGACAACAGATGATAATTCTAGCTAATAACGAAGTAAGAGACAAATTTTTGATTAACTGTTAATTTATGTTAGTTTTAAGTTTAGTTAACTGTTGTAAATTGAATGATTTAAATTGATTTAAATTAGGCTTAATTACGTTTCAGTTAGTTTGGTTTTAATCTAAGTCAACTTAATTAATTGAATTAATTTAATTTAAATCGATTTACATTAATTCAAGTTAAACCTCTGATTAGCGCTAATGATAGTGCTGTCGCCTCCAAGTTTAGTTGTACCTTGATTACTTCTCTATAAATCGTAATCTTAGTATGTAGATAAGAGAGAGAATGAAAATTTATTTAGTTACAAATATTAATCGACATCTTCATTAGCTACAGTTGATGCAACCGGCTCTAAGAATTAATTGTAAGAGAAACGTAGCGTTCTGCGCCAAGCGGGAGGTCTACAAAGCTGTAGCGTGTCGAAGCTAAATGTAATAATCAGACAAGAGAATATTGCCAAGTGCAAATAATCAAAGCATGACATTTTCTAAAATAATCAATCGAGATTTTGAAGACGAATAATGAAGCTCGAGTTTAGCGCAAAATACGACACGTTCACAGCCTAGAAGAGGCTCGTAAAAGTAGCTCAAGTCTCCGTCTCCGATTGTTTATTGCGTGATTAGGCGACAGGAAGTGTATGTGTCAAACGTTTTTGTATATTTGTAACATTTTCGTCGTCGTTGTGCGCAAACACGCGCGACGCTGTAAGGAGTGATTGCTTTTGAATGTACACTTCTTCTAGCGAAATGTGATATTACTGATAAACGGACGGCCACGATATTAGACCCGTCTCGCGACAAGCGAAATACTGCAAACGTTAAACGAGTCGAGCGTTCATATACAGACTGTCCCGGCACTGTTGCGTACTTTGCTCTCGATTTTCCGACTAACTCGCAATGAATCTTTAAAGTGTAATATCAGCGTGATACCTTGCAAGTAAAATGAAGCTTCCGATCCTGGTTGTGAAAAATGTGGCAGATTCGTTCGGAGGCGCGATCGAGTTTCGATAAAGATTCGACATCGATCGGTGTTACTATCGCTTGGCACAGAATGTAAAATGCATCCTCTCTCGTATGCCAAAGTATGCAGCTGTACCCAGAGTACAACATCTGTGTATTTTCGTTCGGTGTTAAAGACGTAATTTTGCGTACAAGATTTTTATACAATTGTTTATAAATTATGTTTTTAGGTATGTGTATATATATATTTGGAAAATTTGGCACAGAAATTATTTAGGATTATATATATAAGAAAAGGGATCAAAGAATTATAATTAACCCTAGAAGGCTAACTCTTCTTTTCCATAGTTGTTTATAATCATACTTCTCTAAGATTGCATACATTTGAGGAAAATGCAAAAAAGAATATGCGAAAATTTACTCGACTTAATTTTTTTTATCTATTAAAATGTTATCATAATTTTAAAATTGGGAAAATCTGACTTTCGGAAAATATTGAAAAGTTGAAATCTTCTTCGGAGATCAGAAAAGACCAATACGTGTATGTCTCAGAGATGCATGTACAGATAGTGTCCTAGGGTTAAAAAAGTGTACAAGATGTTGTACTTCGGCTGTACGAAACAAGTACATTAACACCTTATTATTTACATATAATTGCCAAATGCTAGTCACAAATACTGCATTTTTCAGTTGGACTTCAGTATTGTTTATTAATAAAATACCAATTCACGTGCGAAATCTTGTATTTATTCTTACTGATGATTTTAATCCAAGCAAAAAAGGGCGAGAGTGAGAAGGTACAATTTGCAAAGGTCTGAGGAACAAACAAGTTTACTTTTTCGATTTAAAGTAAAGAAAAATTAATCTTTGAATTATTAGATATTTCGAGCCTTGCCAAATTGACCAAATGCTCTTTTGATTTGCGTACATTTTCGATGTTTAAACATGTTATCCAGACATGGTTAAGCATCGATAAAGCTCAATGAAATAAATGAATATGTTCGATAAAGAGCTGATAATTTCGAAGAATGGACTTGTCTGATCCTTGAAGTCATACTTGCAATTCGATCACAAAGATCATCTATTGTATACGCGACGAGGTGTACTAATTTATTTCTTCTAGTCTAATTACAGGGTGTTTTGCGTAAAGCAACTCGGAGTCATATCTGCGAGGGGACACTAACAATGAAAAAAAGTACTACAGATTTTTTTTTAAAGATTTTAATTAAAAACAATTTTAATTGTCTCTAAAATTAAAAGGAAGCTCTTTTTTTCAAATCAATCGTTCGGCTACTCGGACTGGGACGCTTTAAGTGGGACACCCTGCACGTCTTTGTCACCAAGTTCGATTGTTATCAGAGCGGGATATGCACGATAATCAATCTGCTGTGCGGACTTCTTAATTTTGTAAATACGATGCGGCAATACACGTTCCGGAACTCTATCAGGATCATGCCGACAATCTCTTGATCGGCACTCGCGTGATTTCGTAAATATAAAAGAATATAACTGACCGCGAGAACAATTTAGTTTATTCGCTATTTCGTTTTGACAAACTTATGAGTCTTCTAAAGATGATTTTTCAGTGAAAGAACCACTACTCCGCTTGTTTCCATTACATACATCTTTGTAAAAAAAAGAAATACTATGAATATATTTATTTAATCTGTATTTCCCTCTTCAAATATTAAAAGATATTCAAACACATTAGTTGATAATGCGTTTTCGCCGATATACATTTACATGCAAATAATATAACACCATATGCGAATGTGATAATTACTTTAACATCGCCGTAGGGTAATTTGTGGGATCAGTTGATAATTTTAAATACTAATATATATTATACTTAACGTCAATCACGCACCCGAACACAAGAAACGAATCCTGTCCTTCGTTATCGGTTTGTCACAGTGAAATGGTATATGTAAGCGTATGAGATAATCGCGTATGTATTTGATTACCCATGTTTGTACTGCAATGTTGAAAATAAACATTTTTTGAGATTAACACTTTCGATTCCTGTATCATCGAAGATTTGCTCTTTTGTAAGTGTAAAATTCACAATAATATATTTCCGTGCGCAAATAATTAGTAGAACGTGCGAAGAATTATTTGCACACGAGATTTGTTTGCTGCACAGGTAAAAATTTATTGTTTCCTACAGGAATATCATCCACCGACAAAATTAATAATTACCGCCGCTCTTAAGCTTTTTCTTTTTCCTTTCTTTCAGCAGATGGATTCTATTTTAAGGTGGAATACCCAAAGTCTTTCTCACCAGCTTTTGTGCTATCTTTTCAAACTCCCCACGATCTTCTCTCCACATCTTGGCGGCATCTACATTGGCACCACTCTCGTCATTTGGTTCAGCCAACATACTTACAACACTCAACAGTATCTTCTCGACACTCTGTACTGGACTCCACCTTTCGGCGCTGCTTTCGTAACCCATCGGATCATCACCAGGTGCATGCAATATACTTATGCAGACTCTTCCATCCGCGTAAACTAAACAAAAGAAAAGATACAATTTCATATTTATAGCTTACAAAAATTTCAGTATCGCTGTTTAATTAATAGCTAAAGTACAAGTATATCTTGATTAAGCGATATCTTACTGTTGGGATGAAACATCTCACAGGTAAACTGCATTTTTGGAGGACTTAATGGATAATCTGGAGGAAATATTAATTTTGCTGGAAACACTCCACCTTCAAAGCAGGTTCCCTCTGGTCCACTAAAAATTCCATCAAGAATCATATTCAACTCATATCTATTGAACAATTTATGAAAAACTTCACGTAAAAGTATTATTTATTCAGCACTAAACACAAGGTCTTTTTTATTACTGAAGTAGTATATACTCATACTTTAAATAAAATAAATATATACTTGAAATTTGGCGAAAGAGCAAGAAAGAAGATTTTTAGTATAGCCCAACACAGCGACAGAAAAACATGTCTATTGGTTTAAGCAATCAAGGTACAAAAAAAAGCGAGATAGGAAAGCTGTATATAAAATAGCAAGAATTGACAGTGGAAGATATTTGGAGAGATAAAGATCGAAAGAGAACTTACGTAATGAGAGCCTCCCATTCGAAGAAGTTTTCCTCGTTAATCGGGCCGGCGATGATGCCTTCTGGCGGGTTCAAGGTTAGCTCTGCAAGATCGTCATAGTGCAGGCGTTACTGCTTCGCGGGAAAAGCCTCGAATAACGTGATTAATGAGCGAGCTAACGCTACTGCGGTGTAGGAGATTAAAAAGCCGATTCTCACGTTTGTACTCCGCCATCAGTCGTCTGAGCGCTGAGCCTGCCATCGTTTAAATCATGCGGATGATTCGTCGGCTGTTGCAAAACGTTAAATCGTCGAATGACTTCTCCCGCAAAGTCTCTCTTAAGGCTGACCCCAAAAAGTGGCCGCGACGGCTGGGATCATCGGAGCCAATTGATTTTATCACTCCGATAAACCTCCAAGTTTTTCTCACATGAAGATCTAAATCAGCTGTTTCCTCCAGTTTTCTCCTAACCTAAAAATCGCACAGTCCTGCGCCTGCGCCGTTCTCCCCACCACTCGGGCACTTGACACGTGACACGCCGCAGGCTGCGTCCCAAAACTTCACCGGGATAGGGTCGTTGCGTTCCGAAACGCTAATTTTCCGGATGCATATGTGGCGAAAATTTGGGCGTTTTCATGGCGTCTCGTCACTCTTGAAATTTTCGAGAGGAAGGAAATTTGTAGATGACTGTTTCGCATTTTCATTCGTCCATTTATTTCGCGGTGATTAACCCTTATGTTATACAGCCAATAACGAAGCGAGGTTAAATGCATCGATTTCCAGGTACTCGACGAAACATCCGAAGATTCCGAGGAGTGAGCTAAAGCCAAAATGACGGCGAGTTTGCAGACTTGCTTGAAGGCATCCTGAATTTTACAGTGACAACAATATCAACAATATTCCAGGAAGACTCGTATGTATCGTATGTGTCTCGTGAAATGTCTGAATTAGCTGTACAATAAGTTGCAATGCGTTATTTTGGTATCATCGCCAACAATGCGGTACGCGGTCTCAGTTTTGTCGCATAATTATAGAATTTTAGCGAGTGACAGCGAGTGAAAAGATTTGATATTGTGGGAGATCATTTTGTGTACTGCTTGACGAAAGTCGGGACGCTTAGTCGAATCAAAAGATTTGTCGCGATGGCATCGATATTTTTGCGAAAATTGCATTGTTGATAGTTACGATAACGGAGTAGACGACGTGATAAACGACGTCTAACTTTTGTTTTTGAAGGTTACTAATTGGCGAATCCTTTTAGTAGCTTAACAGGCACGAACAGCCTGTATTGTATATTCAACTTCTCAACATCTTGAGAAGAAGCTGAGCATGGCTTCGGCGATACTACAGGTAAGCATTTACAAAATTAGAAGAAGGTGAGATATAAGCAAAATTACTGAGTAATCAATTTTACAGAAGGCCATAGATCTTGTGACAAAGGCTACAGAGGAGGATCGCAATAAAAACTACGAGGAAGCTCTCAGGTTATATGAGCATGGCGTTGAATACTTCTTGCATTCAATCAAATGTATGTCCAGTAACAAATAATTAATATTTAATAATAAAGGCTTCTTTTACCAACTTCTGGTTAAATTAATTGACGATCAACTTGCATAAGTGTCAACAGCAGTTTAATGTATCTAGAACGTCTCCTCTCTCTCTCTCTCTCTCTCTCTCTCTCTCTCTCTCTCTCTCTCTCTCTC